AGCTTCTGTTAAGGGTGAGGGAGAAATCTGGGAATGGATAAAGGTAATGGTTGAACAACACGATGAACATAATTAATGTCAGTGAACTGTGCAGGTAAAAATTGTTGACAAGTGTTTTGTTACATATATATTTACAACAATTTTTTTAAAATATAAACACACTGCACATGATTATGGGAATCACAAGCAATGACATTTATCAGAATTCATAGCAATCCTACACACAGCAAGTGTGTCTGCATGTGAGAAAGAAAGCTGTAGCACTGCTGAACTATCAATAATTTTGATCAGTCTTGCTAGAGGAAAGGCTACCTTATCTTTCTATTCTCTCTAACACAAAATCATTATATAAAGAGCCTATCAAAGAGCAAGCAGCTGAAAATTACAGGGGGAAAAGTTATTTTAGATGCGTCTCAGTCAATTAATGCAAGTATTTTTTTCTAGATTTTGAGTTATCTCTGGTATTTGCCATCTTTAAAAAATACGTACTTTTTTGTGATTTATTTTCTTCTTCTAAAGAGTTATTTTCGTCCCTAATTTTGTATTTGTGTTTTTATGTTGTTTTTATTAAAGACAGGCCTTAACTTGTATAAGCCCCAGGTCCCACAGACCTGGATCTTCCCTGTTGACAGCCCCGGTGAGCACCTGGACAAAGGACTAGGTTTCTCTACCCCTGGAGCCCTGCTCCAGCCAGGGTTCCCACATCCTCAGGGCAGTTTGGTCAGCTGTGCTGCGAGGGTACCAGGTCACCCTCCCCCACCCCAGTCCTGTTTTCAAGGCTGTGAGGTCTTTTTCCTGATGGTTCTTATCCCTGGTTCTCAGGCTCCTGCTCTGGCTGAGAAAGGCAGCAGAAAGGAACAGCTGCTGGTGCTCAGTCTCTCCAGCTGTACTGAAGCCCAGCTGTATAAGTCTTCATTCTGCCATGAATCTATTTCAGGTTCTTTTAATTCAGGGAGAGGTAGGATGGTTTTCTGCCAAATCGTTCCCCTGATTCCTATCATGCTTGGGTCAAGTAATCTGACGTACATGACTGTCTTCTCTGCAGCAAGGCACTCACCAGTTTTCCTGTTTTCTTTAACAGAGTTGGTGTGGATCTGGATGAAGATCTGAAGGAGGAGCCTTCCTCACACCAGGCAAGTCACAGAAGCTAATGTGTAGACCACAGCAGTGTGAGATGTTCTGTTCTAGGGAGTGCACGTGCTTGTACAGCACGTGCCCAAGGGACTCATTCTAAACAGGGCTGCCTCTCTGAAAAAACAAAGCAGAAGAATTCAGAATGCTCAATAACCTTTAGCATATGAATGCTTGGAACTAGCACATACATGTAGCATCACTGTGGCTGAAACCAAAAACCCACTGCTGTTGAGTCAATTCCAACTCACTCTATAACATAGGGGTAAGAGCATGGCTCTTAGAATGAGATACCCAAGGGTTCAAGTCCCTGCCCAGCAACTTGCTAGCTAGCTGATCTTGTTGACACTAGCTCAAACCCTCTTAGCCTCAGTTTGCTCATTTTATAAAAATAATGATAGTGGTCCAATGCATGCTGGGCACACAACAAGTAGACCTGTTTCTCCTGCACAGCTTCTCATATAGCAGGAATGTTGTTGTTAGTTACCATTGAATTGGCCCCTAGCTTGTGGTGATCCTATGCACAACAGCACGGAACACTGCCCGGTCCTGCACCATCTCCATGATTGACTGCAGATCGGACCATTGTAATCCATAAGGTTTACATTGGCTGATTTTTGGAAGTAGCTTGCTAAGCCTTTCTTCCTAGTCTATCTTAGTCTGGAAGCTCCACTGAAACCTCTTCACCATCATAGCAACACACAAGCCTCCACTGACAGACAGGTGGTGGCTGCACATGAGGTGTATTGGCCGGGAATCAAACCAGGTCTCTTGCATGGAAGATGAAAATTCTACCACTGAACCACCAATGCCTTCCATAAGTGTACAGAAATACTGAAACGGGCAAAATGCAGTGATCCATTCCTGACTTCACTGAGCAACGTTATCTGCAGAGACCTGAAAATCTTTATGGAAAATTATTCGGAACATTGTGTAGTTCCTCAAGTAAACAAGG